AGTATCCTAAGATGTTTATTTTTATTATTATTTTTTTTAATTTTGGCTAGTCATACTTCTAAAGACCTTGGTACTGGATTCCCATTTTTGTTGGGTTTTAAGTAGGAATTCATTGTGGCTGCAGGAACATGCTTAGAAAATTTATTGAAAACCAGTTTAATTTTTTTTCGAGTTTGTCCTTGTGAAGGACTTTTTCTGTTTAGAACTTCCTTGACTGAGTCAGCTACCTACTTTTCAATTTCAACGACTATCCTAATGGCATGGTGACACTGTTCAATTTGCTAGTTATGGGAAACTGGCAAGACTGGATGCAGGTACCTTCTTTTATTATCAGTTCCCTTTTCTTTGTGCTTCTACTCCTCAGCCTAAAGCGATATATCTGTGGTGTTCTCTTTTGGAGTAGGGTTATGTGCCATCTAAAAGTGAAAGAAGAAATCGTTAGATGATTAGCATGGCTATCGAATTTCATTTGTTATTTCTCTGAACATTAATCTCTTTGTGTTTTCCCTTTCGGGCTTCCCCTCAAAGTTTTAAAACACGTCTGCTAGGGAAAGGTTTCCACACCTTTATAAGGAATGTTTCGTTCCCTTCTCCAACCAATGTGGGATCTCACAATCCACCCCCCTTAGGGCCCAGAGTCCTCGTTGGTACACCGCCTGGTGTCTATCTCTGATACCATTTCTAACCGCCCAAACCCACCGCTAGCAGATATTGTCCTCTTTGGGCTTTCCTTTTCGGGCTTCCCCTCAAAGTTTTAAAACGTGTCTGCTAGGGAGAGATTTCCACATTTTTATTAGGAATGTTTCGTTCCCCTCTCCATCCGATGTGGGATCTCACATTGAATGTCCGAGTGGTTTTGGTATTTAATTTAATACGAAGGAAAAGAAAAACTAAAAGAAATTAAGCTCAATCATGGTACAAAAATTCTGATGAGAGGAGGGTAATGTAATATCATACTAACTTTTTCCTAAAGAAAAATCAGATGCTTCAAACTTCCGTTTATTCTAGTTTCATTATCCTTGTCCTAATTTCTTTGGCTTTTAAGATTCCTGTATTATTTTCTACCTTCATGATTAGATTAGCTACTTTATGCTAATAAGATTATCCATGTGGCTACGAAGTATTGCTTATATGTACTCCGGCCTCATAAGTTGGATTCCACTGTATGCCTCATTCTTGTGTTTCAAGTAATTATTTTGATTTTCCCTCATTACTATAACTTTTCTTTACCATTTCTGGAATTTGTTACTGAATTTAATATTTGTCTTCGTAGAGCTACAAGGAGTTAACAGGAAGTATTTGGAGCCACGTTTATTTCATCAGTTTCTACCTAATAACCGTTTTGCTGCTCTTGAATTTGGTAAGTTTGCTTTCGCATTTTTATACAATGACTTTACCTCGTCGTTTACATCTTTACTATGATGATGGCCTTCAAATAAATGGATTTCCTGGTTGAGAAATGCTGCATAATGAATAAATGGAATCTGATTACACCAGGCATTACATGCTAGATTGTTTTCTTAGTTAACACAATACTATTACCATTTGTTATGAGAGATGGGATAAGAAAGGGATTACAGCATCGACAAGTTAGTTGGACGTTAGGTATGTCGATATGGGGGACCGACCAACTGAGGAATGTTCGGAGAAGTTGTGTGAGGGGGAAGGCCAGCTTTATTTTTCTTTATGCTTTTTGTCTAGTTGCTTGCTTGTGAGGGAGAGGAGAGATTACCAGCCCTCTAATGAGCTTGGAGTGTCCGTGTGGCCTTAGGGAAAGGTTCTTCCTGAGATCAAAGTTCTTCTTCCGTTCATCAGTATGTCGTAAGGGGAACCTTAAAAATACCTTTATAAATACTGAATGAGCAGATTGTTAGGAATCACGACTCTCCACAATAATATGATATTGTCCACTTTGAGCATAAGCTATTATGGCTTTACTTTTGGTTTTCCCAAAAAGCCTCGTTCCAATGGAGATGTATTCCTTACTTATAAACCCATGATCATTTCTTAAATTAGCCAATGTGAGATTCCCTCCCAACAATTCTCGACACAGATAATATTGTTAAAAAGAAATGTTAATATTGAACTGGAAATGAATTGAGGGTTCGTGTTACTCGTCAATGTTACTTTTTCTTTTCTTCTCTAAGGAGGAAATTCAAAATTACCCTCTTTACTTGGTACTCACCAACGGTTTAATGCACCCACCGCCAATATTTCCTCTATTGTGAATGCATGCTTGTAAGCATATTGTATTTGATATAGCGAAGTTAAAACTAAAAGTACTTAAAATATTGTGATATGATTCAGGTTGTAGCTTTTGTCTTGGAGGCTTTCTTTGCTGAACTGGATATTGAATCTTCAGAAAATGGCGAAGAACAGGAACAGGTCAGTATCTTCTGATCCTTGAGAAGGATGGATATTATAAACTGCTGCAAATTATTGATTTATATTAATTCTTACAATTATTGAAAAAAGAAGTATGCCAGTGAAACACATATATCAAGTCTAAATATGTGAATTTAGAGATGTACGCTGTCCTCTTTTTCTCTGGATGAGAATTTATTTCTGTTTTGCTATCCGAGAATAACTTGTTGATGATCTGGTCATGCCACGTGACTGCCAATCATTATAATTCTGCTAGTTGAGTATAACTATCATTATACCGACAGACTGTATGGTGCACAATCGCACTTTTTTTGGCAGCGGACTTTGCGATTGTGACACTCACTCTCAACGCCAAGTGAGTCAAGTCAACTTGTATTCGCATCACCTACGGCCGGGCAACGTATGCTCAAGCCTCTAGTCACGTTTGAGAAGAAGGTTTTAGAAAACGGGGGAGAGAGATTTTTGAAAGGGAGTTTTGAAAGTAAGAATGAGAAACTATAAGCTAAAGGCAACACAACGGCTTATATAGCATATAACTTTCCAGGTACGGAGAATTTGACAACTAGTCGCATTCCCCTATAGTACATTTTGAGGCGATTCAGGTCTGACAAGCCTAGAAGTGATTTCTCCAAATGGTTATACAAAATCAGGGGAGGAGTTCGACAACTAGTCACACCCCTCTATAGTACATTTTGAGGCGATTTAGGTCTGGCAAGCCTAGTCATGATTTCGTCGAGTAGTCATACAAACATAAAATACATTAGTAAGGTAACACAACTTGGAATTAAATAAAGGGTTCGGCATGGCATGGACATGCAGCCACAAACAACACGTCCTGGACGAGCATGACCGTCAATGCCCCATGATTTAAGTTGCCTGTAGCTGAGCTTTTTGCAATTTGCTGCTTGTTATGAACAACGTCGACTTTTCTTACTTTCTTTGTATTTAGAGGACTTATTACGCCACATTGTTATACCGTTTGTTCAGCTGCCTTCTGTTTATAACTACCAAAGTTCCATGTCTTCTCATTTTTATCTTTTCATTTTTTGGGGGAGAGTAACGGACTTGAGAATTTAGTACCGGTGAACAATATGTAACTCCAACCAACTGTGCTCATGAATCGAAATATTTTCTTCTGTTTCAGGACGCAGATAGTAGAAAGGATCGTCGACGTTTCGTCGGGTACGTAAATTAACTAGCTTTAATATGCATTATGCATCTATCCTCTCCGGTTGTCTTGAAAAGTTGACATGACAAATTTTTGTGGTTTGTTTGTTTCAGCACAAAAACTAGGAGCCGCAAAGTTGACATTCTTCTCCATCATATGTTGAGTGCAGAATTGGATGGAAAGGATTCCGATTAGTGTAACTTAGTGTGTTATTGGATGTCTTTTAAACGTAACAGTAAGAATGTGAATGTGATTAGTGTTGTATTTTGTATCTCATTTGTTTTCCATCAAGAAGTGGACTTTGTTGTCCAATCTTTAAATAATGCGACTTGAAGTGCGTAATTATTCCATCGAGCAGCTTGGTTCGTGGTTGTCTATTTCGTGCATTATATGAACACATTTTTAAGATAATTCAACTTGGACCTCTGCAATATGATTCGAGCAATTAATTTATTTTGTGTATTTATCTGGTGTCAAATATGTTTGTTAGAGAAAGGTTTTCACACTCTTATAAGTATGTTTCATTCCCCTCTCCAACCTTTTGGTGATTGGCTCTTATATCATTTGTAATGACCTAGTTAATCCATTGCTAATAGATATTGCTTTCTTTGGTCAAAGCTCATTCCCCTCTTCAACCTATTGGTGATTGACTCTTATACTATTTGTAATGACCTTAGTTAGTCCACTGCTAATAGATATTGCTTTCTTTGGTCAAAGCGGGTAATATATGTTAGCAGTGGACTTGAGCTATTATAAAAGTATTAAAACTATACATCTGGCGGTGTGCAAATGAGAATGTTGAGCCCTCAAGGGATGGATTGTGAAATTGTACATTAGTTGGAGAAGGAAACGAATCATTTATTGTAATATTTAAAATCTCTCCCTAAGAAGCCCAAAAAAGAAAATCGAGAGAGAATAATATCTTCTAAGTGGGCTTGGGTCGTTAAAGTTAGAATAGAATTCTAAAGAACAAAATCACAAACAAATTATTTAATGAGGCTACCACGATATAGTCACTTTAAAATAGATTTAGGGTTTAGAATTTAGAGTTTTAAAAATTTAGGGTTTAGAATTTAGATTTAGGGTTTAGAGTTTAGAATTTAGAGTTTAGGGTCAATGTCTTGAATTAAATTATCAAATTCAATCGTCTTGAAATAAATTATTAAAAAAATGTCTAATCTAACCCTAATTCAATAACCTCAATATTTATTTAATTATATAATTCAACAATAAAACTATTACGACAAACCCAAAGTAAAAGGTTAAAAAAAAATGCCAATTTATATTATTGTTGAATATAATATTTTGTTGAATCATTGAATCAGTGAATAAGTTGCCAAAAGCGAAGCAAAGACATTCCAAAAACTGGCGCCACAACCTTAGCGCCAAAATCAGCTCTTCCCGCCATTTCCCTTTCTCTTTATATAAACCCTAAGACATCTCTGCAAGTATCATCCATTTCCAATTCGATTTTCTCTACAATTCCTCTGAATTACCCTAATTTTTCTCTTGATTTTTCATTCAATTCTCTGCCATGGTTGTTCCTCTCGGACCCGGCAAGTTCTACGGCAGCAGTCTCCCCCGTCCCCGCTACTACACCGACGTCAAGTTCAACGATGAGCGTGTAGATCCACCCACGCCGGTCCTCGATCCGCTTCTCTCATGGGCGAACGAGGCTCACTGGTCAATGGGAGGTCTCAGCTTCAATCGCCTGAGACTTCAGGGTCGAATCGAAGGCAATATCAACAAGCTTCGAAATGAGCGTGAGAAGATTGCTAAGAAGAAGAAAGTAGAGACGCCTGAGAGATCCGACTCAGATCTCAGAGATGATGCCGATCGCCGGTCGAAAAAGTCGAAAAAGTCGAAATCAGTATCACCACCGCCAGTGCCAATTGCAACGAAGAGACGGCGATTGATGCCATTGTTTGACGCTGAGGATGATGATGTTGGTGAGCACAAGGAAGAAATTAGGGTTGTGAAGAGGAGATTGGTGAAGAAGCTGGGAGATGATTTCGATCGAGTCGCGGTGGAGGGGAAGAAGAACCAGTTGAAAGGTTCGAGGGATCGAAATTTGGAAGTCAATGGGATCGATGAATCTGTAATGAAGATTGTTGAGGAGATTAACGATCAAAGTACAAAGGGGAAGAGTAGTGTTAAAAAACTGGAAAATGATTCAATTTCTGCCATTAGAACTTCTCCCAGATTAGCTAATAAGCGTAGATCAAATTGACTTCGGAATCTTAGTATAGACTATTAGTTTCTAATGCTTTTCTTTTTCAGTTTTTGTTCTTCAAAACTGGGCCAAGATCTGTAATGTTGGTTTCTGACTGAAAATATGAAAATGGAATGTGGATTCTGCCATTGTTAAGGTCGATCTTAAGCATTCAATCTAAGATGAAGGAAGAACACCAATACAAACACAAATTATCAGAACTTTTGGGGATGAACATTGAGAAAGAACCCTTTGTGAAGAACTCAACTTTCTGCATACAAGGTGTTTGATAGAATGCCGCAATGATACATCAACATGTTCAAACCCAGACTATCAGCAAGCTATTTTTGTAAGCCTTTCTGAGCTGAATTTCTTTACAAAAACAAAGAAAAAAACTGTTCTTAAGACGGATAAACAAGTTCGTGTTCTTCCAAAACAGTTCAAAGAAGATCATTTTCTTTCAAAACAAAGAAAGAACTGTTCTTATCTTGTTCTTCAAGCCAAGTTTGCTCCATGACAACAGATCCATCATATCTTTGAATCAAACAGTTTGAGTGATATCATTATGAACAAATCCCAGACAACCCATGTTCTAAAATCGACCATTTCATTACATGAATCAGTATAAACTCCCTGTATTCCATCCATTAGCAAAGAAAAGAGATCTGTAAATCCCAAGTTTATGAAGCATTTCTGGAGAGAAAGCAATGATCCATATGAACCCATAAACCCTAAAGTTACAAGAAAGATCTAAACCATTAACACCAGGCATTGCGCTTCACCTACAAGTATGAACAAACAACACCAAAATCACCACAAATCTGAGATACCCATTTGATCAAAACCCCCAAAATCCTCCCTCAATCCCACCAAAATTAGCCTCTAACTCTCATTACTCTTCCTAAACAAAGCAAAGTACCCCAAAACAGCACAAACAGCAGCCACTAAATTCCCTTCCTTCAACAAAATCTTAGCCACAACCCCAAAAATCTCCTTAGTAATCTTCCTCCCCTCCACCACCAACGCCCTCTTAGGCTTCCCAAAGAAGTAAAGCAGCACAACAATGGTGATCCAAGTTACAAGGGTGGCCGGCACCATGACAGCCAGTGCAGCCACCATGGAAAGAACCCCAAAAACTGCCCCAAGAAGCAGAGAAGCATAAATCGCAGGCCACCCAAATGAAGAAGAAGAAGAAGAAACTTCCACTTGGGATTTGTACCAAGAGAGTATAGAAGCAAGGAAATTCCAGGAAGAAGACAAAAGAAGGGCATAAACCAGAACAAAAAGACATACCCATGTTCTTCTTTTGCTCATCACTCTCATAATCAAAGAGTACCATTGAGGAGCGATTGTTTCTGGGTCTTCTTCCTTATTGTCTGCCATTCCCGGTTTCCAAATCTGTTAATCTTCTGTGATTTTCAGAGCTTTCTCCTTTGATGGAGAGTTTCCCTTTCCCTTCCTCTTTCGGCGTTAAGAAAGCAGCACGCCCAGTGGTGAAGCTTAAACAAAGAAGCAAAAGAAGCTCAAAAACCTTCACGCTCACCTCCTCACCTGTGTGCCAAACTGACTCTGTGGACCAATCCAAAGGGTTTCTGGTCGAACGTGTTCAACACGCGCCAACAAATGGATGAATGAACCGTATGAACATAGTAACCCAAAGGGACTGCCCCGTCCCCTTAATGACAGTTTGGGTTGGGCTATCCGTTCAGCTTTTTGCTAGTTTTTTAAACTCACATTAGACTAATAATTAAAATTTTATGTAATAGCCTGGTTTGGGGTTGGTCGGATCGGGTTGGATTGAGTTGTAACTCTATTGTCAAGTTGGTCGGTGTGTCAACCAGCGAATCGATCCAAATTTTCGGTCTTTCAAAAATTCAATCCGACCCAGATTGAAAAATGAGAAAAAAAATCTAACCCCACCTAGCGTTTATGGTTTGGGTTGAGTAATCTGAGTCATCGAATTATATATTCTTCTAAAAAAATCATTAATAGGAACAAGAAAAGAATCTTAAAAGAATTGTGGGTGCTCTTCATTAAAGAGAATATTTGTTCGATCATTGTAAGCATGTTAAAGAAGAAGATTTTGATGTTTTTTTTTTTATCTCCTAATCCAAGTTTTTTTTCTTTTGGTCCGACAGAGAAATTGAGGATAAGTTTGACCAAAACTTGGGAATGATAGAACATCGTGATTCTACGAATAGACATGGTCGTGTTAATTTTATGGTTTTGGTTTGATCTCCATTAGTTTGAGTCTTAAAAATTTATTTTCTTAAGGTCAAAATGAAATTCTCGTTTTTGTGTAAATAAACCTACATTTCTTAAGAAACCACTCAACAACGTAAAATATAATACATTTATTTTTTTTATTTATTATAGATAAAAATAAAATAATGAGCTAAAAAATCATAAAGGGAAACAATATGAAAAACAAATATAAAAAATGGAGAATCATTTAAAGAAGAAAAAAAACAAAAATAAGAATAAAAATTGGAAAAGAAATTGAAAAAAGAATAAAAAGTAGATAGATGAATAATAAAAATAAAAAATAAGGGGAAAAAACAAAACAAGACAAGAGAAAAATAAAGGTATGAGCTTTTAGAAAACTCCTACCCACCGAGGCAACTTGGATGCTAAGAGTGATTTATATATCTCTGTAGATCCAAATGCTAGTAGATATTGTCCTCTTTCGATTTTTTCCTTTCGGGCTTCCCCTCAAGGGGCTTTAAAACGTGTCGGCTAAGGGCAGGTTTCCACACCCTTATAAATGGTGATTTGTTCTCCTCCCAACCAATGTGAGACATCACCCCCCTTCAGGGGGACCCAGCGTCCTCGCTGGCACTCTTTCCTTCCTCCAATCGATGTGGGACCGCCCCCAAATCCACCCCTTTTGGGGCCCAGTGTCCGGTGTCGAGCTCTGATACCATTTGTAACAACTCAAGCCCACCACTAGCCAATATTGTCCTCTTTGAGCTTTTCCATTTCAAGCTTCCCCTCAAAGTTTTAAAACACGTCTGCTAGGGGAAGGTTTCCACGCTCTTATAAATGATGTTTGTTTTTTCCCCAACCAATGTGGGATATCAGAGTATCATTGATGTCTTTTTTTGTACTTCAAACGAGTGTTATTGTGACATTAAAAAAAAAAATCGTTTTAGTCTCTTACTATAGGTTTTATAAGCCCACGTCAGTTCCCTTAAAAAACCCACAAGTCAAACGCCCGTTATAATCAAGGTCAAGTTGCTATAAAGACACTGAGACTCACCTTGGACGGTTATAAATGGTATCATAACCAAATATCGAACTGTGTGTCATAAAAAATGTTAGGCTTTCAAAGAAAATAGATTGTGAGATCCCACATCGGTTCGAGAAGAAACCTGATAGTTATATGTAACGTACCAAAACAGACCATATATGCTAGGGTTAGTGGAGCACAAACGAATGCTTCTCTCCATAGACTTTCTTACTTGAACGATGACCCAAAATCCTGGTTCCACCAATCCACTTCATGGCTGGTTTGACAATCTCTTCCCATGGCTGCTTTCGTTGACTCGATCGCCGTTCGTCCTTTTGCTTCAACTCTCTCTCTCAATCTCTCCCATTTGCGTTCCAAACCGTTCTTTTGTTGAAGGAATCATGTCTTGTTCTTCAATCACTCTGTTCTGCGCTGTAATTTCGATTCTAATCTCCATTTCCCTCTCAGTCTCCGCTACAGAGTTCATCTTCAACACGAATTTCACTTCCACTAATATTCTGCTCTTCGGCAACGCCACCGTTGATTCATCCGTTCTTATTCTCACAAGGGATTCAACTTTCACCATCGGCCGTGCTCTATACCCTTCCAAAATCCCGATCCGTTTCTCCGATTCTTCTTTTTCCTTTGCAACTTCCTTCATCTTCTCCGTCACTCCACAGCCAAATCATCTCCCCGGCCATGGATTCGCCTTTCTCTTCACACCTTCTACTGGAATCAATGGCACGAGCTCGGCTCAGAATTTGGGGCTTTTCAATTTCACCACTAATGGTAACCCTAATAACCATGTCTTCGCTATTGAGTTCGATTCCTTCCAAAATCAAGAGTTCAACGACTCGAATGATAACCATGTGGGTGTAGATTTGAATTCTCTTGAGTCTACTGCCTCATCTACAGCAGGGTTTTGGAATGAACATGGAGAATTCAAGGAGTTGAGGATCAACAATGGAGAAATTTATCAGGTTTGGATTGAATGCTTAAACTCTTTGGTTAATATTACAATGGCTGAATTGGGAATGAGAAAGCCTAGAAAACCATTGATATCTCTGTCTGTGAATTTCTCTGAATTGCTTTTGGATGAGATGTTTGTAGGATTTACAGCCTCCACAGGGCAATTAGTTCAAAGCCATAAGATATTATCATGGAGTTTTAGTACCTCTAATTTGTCAATTGGTGATGCTTTAGTAAGAACGAATTTGCCATCATTTGCTCCTCATAATGACTCTATTTTTAACTCAATAGCTTTCATTGTGGGGATAATTGTGGGTGGTTCTGGGCTTGTGATCATCTGTTGTATTGTGGTCTATGTTCTTGTAATTATCAAAAGAAGGGGAACAAAGAAACCAATGGATGATGATATTGAAGATTGGGAGTTGGAATATTGGCCTCATCGGTTTGCTTATGATGATGTTTATGCAGCAACTGATGGGTTCTCAGAGGCCAATGTTGTTGGCTTTGGGCGTAATGGAATGGTCTATAAAGGGGAATTAGGGAGATCAAAGGTTGCTGTGAAGAAAATCTCTGTTGAATCTGAGTGTGGAATGAGGGAGTTTATGGCCGAGATTTCGAGTCTCAGACGATTAAAACATAGAAATTTAGTGAAACTTATAGGATGGTGCAAGAAAGAGAAGGGAAGCTTGATCTTAATGTATGAATTCATGGAAAATGGAAGTTTAGACAAGAAGTTGTTCGAGTGTGATGAGAATACGACGCTGAGTTGGGAGAAAAGGATGAAGGTTTTGAGCGATGTAGCGACGGGGCTGCTATATCTGCATCAAGGTTGGGATTACAAGGTTATACATAGTGACATTAAAGCAAACAACGTGCTACTCGACAGGGACATGAACGCAAGGTTAGGAGACTTCGGGTTGGCTCGAATGCAACCCAACAAGAGAACGGTAGACAAAAAGCGAGTGGTGGGAACTGTTGGGTACTTGGCGCCGGAGGTAGTTCGAACAGGGCGAGTATCGATGCAAGGCGACGTTTTCGGGTTCGGGGTGTTGGTTTTGGAGGTGGTTTGTGGGCGGAGAGCGATGGAAGAAGGGAAGCCATTGTTGGTAGATTGGATGAGAGGAGTAATGGAGAGGAATGAGATTGTAGTGGCTGTTGATGAGAGATTGAAAGTTGAAGAGGTTGGAGAAGAGATTGATGAAATGGAGAGAATGGTTTGTTTGGGATTATTATGTGCACATCCTGAGGCTGGTGCAAGGCCAACAATGCAACAAGTTATGAACATTTTGGGTGAGATAAACAAAGATAACTCAAATCATCGAACGTTTGAACAAATCAAAACATCTTCTTCTTCAACATCCTTTGTTGAATCAGACGTTTTAAAGAGTGGTCGCTAGCTGAACTTTGATTGTTTTAATACAGGGACGACGGATTCGGTGTTAGATTTCATTATGTAAATTCAGTGTCTATACTATGTTTAGATGATGTGATTATAGTTACTCGTTTATTTTGATTCATTTTTGTAAAAGAAGTACTTGGTGTGAAAGATTTAAATTAGAGGATCGATATGGAGGAACCTCTTCTGTGAGAATTGGAGTTAACCTTACTAGTATCTAGCCTTTGACATGTTGTATATTCCAACCCATTTGCACGTGGTTTTCGAACTCTGACATACTATAGGTTGGTCTCCTCTCGATTGCTTCCTCCTTTCCCCGACAACATTTAGCTCGGATATGTCAAGTTGGGGACTAGGGAACACTGATGTTTCTTTTACCTATCTTTTCAAGACGATTGTCTCGGAGGTAGGGCCAATGGACCCGTGGTTTTTCGACTGGACCCCTGAGCATGATGGGATACCGATAGCAGGTATGTCTTACTCTTCGTTTGCCTCATCTTCATCTCAAACTTTATACTAACTTAAGCTTCGAAGTGGACATGGTCAAGCACCATACCCCAACTCAGTCGGAGTCGAGCTCGAGCATCACATCAGCATCTCGGCAAGGTATGAAATTCGCACCAACACATGATATTGCACATACAAATTCTCTACACTCGCCCAAAGTTGGAGGCTCCTTTGCCATCCTTCCTGCTTCAATTGGATATAATCTTTCATTTGCTTGGAAAAACATTACTTAGAGCATAAAGCTTTTGAGATGATGCATAATGTTCGAATTTAAGATGATCCTTGGATGCCGAGAGAGGGGAATAGCATGCACGTTCAAGTTGATCTACGACATCATACTGTTCCTTGCCCCCTACACGAAGCGATATTTGAGATGAAGATAACGTGAGGCTGCCTTCAAAGGTCAACTTTACAACTAGAAGTACTTCAATGATATATCCCGATTCCCGACACACATAAACCTTAATGAAAGTGTACATTGTCTAAGGAGCTTTGGAGGCATGTCGTCTCTTCTAATGTTTCTTTTAATGTTTCCTTTGAATACAAGATATGAATGATTGGACAACGTTAGACCAGTGGTGACAAAGAGTACAATCCAATACGCATAGAAAAGATTTTTCATATAATTCTTGAGAAGTTATTGATCCTATGTAATCGACAAGTGCTTTCTGAGAAATTAACCCTATGCAAGCTCGGGAAAAATCCTTTCATGATTCCTAATAGAAACTCGTAGGATTTATAAATATCAGCACTCTTCTAGTAATATGTCTCGATGATCTGACATTGAGATATTTTGAATCTACATGGAAAGCTACTTTAGCACATAAAGGGATCGAGCAAGTTGAGCTTTATGAATGACCTCGACAATCGAGCTAAAAAGTCTTCTTTTTCCAATTGATTTATGTTTACTTGTAGATATTTTCAAGATAATTCCTACTTTTAAAAAAAAAAAAATAATAATTTATTAAGATGCCTCATTTAAATAATTAAACCATAGTTAGCCCCTAACTCAACTAGGGTTGGTAGGAGGGTTGCAAGTATGAACCATAAAAATTTGATTAATTAAAAAAAAAGCTAATTATGATTAGGCCCTTTTGAGAATCTCGAGGTAAAACAGCGGAAAGCACAAATATTTTATATACATTTCATTAAATATTTTCTTTTATTATAAAAAAATGGATAAGATTTTTCATTTTCTTTTTTAAATAGGTTCGGGTCTTATCATTATCTCTATTATAATTATATTATAAGGTATATAAACTTTATTTAAAAATAATTATTTAACATTAATTTTTAGGATTAATGAAGATTTTTTATATTTAATTTCTTATGATATTATTCCTAATAAAAAAACATTATTATTATTATTATTATTATTCTTATATGAATTATTCAATCACTCCATGGGTGTTCTTTTCCAATGGGCTTTCCACCGGTTTTGAACTAATTTTTATTATTTTAAAACATGATTGCAAAAAATTATTAATATATATATATATATATATATATTTATTTATTTATTAAGGTTATATGATTATTTTTATTTTCGGTCCGAAAAATCCGTATCAATTTTTAAAAATGAATGAAACATGTTTCCTTAAATATAAATTAATTCCTACAAATTTCAATTTATTGAATAATATGTTGGGGTACATTTGTCTTGTAGCGGTTCCCCAATCAGGCCGAAGATTCGATGAAGACCAACGAATATGTGCCACGTCAGCTTACTGATAAATAAATAAATAAGATGGAAAATATTTTTGTATTAAAAAAGCAAATTATGTTGCTAATAGTTCGAAAAATAATAGTATGGTCTTGGAATTGACAACTTTGACCCTCAACTTTAACACAATTCGATCAAAATAAATTCTAAATTAAATTTAAATAATATGGATCAAAAAATATATATCTCTTTTAAATAAAATCAATATATATGAATAAAAAAGAATGACAATTTTTTAATATTTACCACTAAAAGATTGACACGTGTACTATCTTTCTTTCTTTTTTTTTTTTTTGTAAACATTAATCTTCTATCTCATAAATAATAGGAAATTATGGTTCTTACTTTTCCACACACATTAACGTTTGTGGATAAGTCCACGTGTCGCCTATACTGCCAGCTGTCGCAAACAAGTGCTGGAAATTACTGAGTGTCGCCACGTTTCACTTGTGATTCAGACAACTCTTTTCCTAGCAGTTTCTAGTTCCCAATTATTTTTATGGAATTTATTAAAACGAGATAAGTTTTGGTTTTGGATAGGAAAACGACAAAAAAAAAATGGAACAAAACAAAAAAAGTGCCGGTGTTGTTGGATGAGCGTCCCACGTAAGCTAGTTTAGAGAACGATAGTGGATTTATAATAAAGGAATATTCTCTCAATTGGTATGAGGCTTTTTGGATACCATTTGTAACTATAATCGTCTATCGAAGAGATTTCAATACGGATGGAATCATATTTCACGAGGACGACGATGGGAAGGCTTTTCTGTGCCTGCCCTACCTACCCTGCGGACATCTAACATAGTGAAGAGTGTCTATCCTACCCTGTGGACATCTAACATAGTGAAGAGTGAAGAACGGGGACGAGGACGGGAAGGCTTGAAGAGTGTCTATCCTACCCTGTGGACATCTAACATAGTGAAGAGTGAAGAACGGGGACGAGGACGGGAAGGCTTGAAGAGTGTCTATCCTACCCTGTGGACATCTAACATAGTGAAGAGTGAAGAACGGGGACGAGGACGGGAAGGCTTTCTATCCTACCCTGTGGACATCTAACATAGTGAAGAGTGAAGAACGGGGACGAGGACGGGAAGGCTTGAAGAGTGTCTATCCTACCCTGTGGACATCTAACATAGTGAAGAGTGAAGAGAGGACGGGAAGGCTTGAAGAGTGTCTATCCTACCCTGTGGACATCTAACATAGTGAAGAGTGAAGAACGGGGACGAGGACGGGAAGGCTTGAAGAGTGTCTATCCTACCCTGTGGACATCTAACATAGTGAAGAGTGAAGAACGGGGACGAGGACGGGAAGGCTTCTCAGTGCCTAGCCTACTCTACCGGATAGACATCTAACAAAATGAAGAGGGAAGATAGCATTACCTCAAATTAAAACACGTTCAATTTTAGAGTTTCTAAGATTAAGCCATTTTGTCTGCGTAACCGTTGGCAAATTCAATCTACAAATTTCCCTTAAAAAAAAAAAAGAATATTCAAGAATTATCGGAACTATTTTGTAATAATATTGGAGAAGAAGGATTAGTTGAGCTGACGTGGAATTAGCTGTCTAATCCACAATGAAGTGGACCCAGCATTTTCTTTCACGCGGCGGCTCGTTCATCCAGCTATGACGGTGGATCCCACCCCAATTTCCTCCTATAAATACCCTGCAATTTTCCTCCCGGACTTTTCATTCCGATTTCAGAACACTTAAATCTAGCTTCTTCGTCCGCCTCTGCCTGGAGCGATGGTGAGAATTCCAGTAACTGTGCGAACTTCCGGTGAGAATGTCGACTTCACGTGCGCAACTGCGAGTTTTTCCGACGTCTTTTTTAGGTATTTGGAGGATGGAGAGACGTCGTCGGGAAATTCCTACAACTCCGGGCACGGGAATGGTCACTCCGACGACGAGGAGGATGAAAAGTCCTTCGACGTGAAAGAGAGTAGGGAGTTTTGGAAGTCGCAGGATGAAATTCTCAAGGTACTCATCGATTTGGATCTTATGTAATTTCATCATAAACAGAGGAAGTTGATGGCGGTGAGTGATTTCTGTAAATTGATAGTTGATTTTGATTTTTCAGGCGACGTTACGACGGACGAGTTCGATTGAATCAAGAATCCGCCGCGAGACGGTGGAGATTGTTAGGGGAACGAATATAGAATCGACGATATGCGAGTGCGGTACTTCCGCAGCGGGAGGCTGCCGGAACTGCTGGCAGAGAGAGATCTGCAATCGGCTACGAATCGCCGGTTTCAATTGTGCGATGTGCAAATCGAAATGGAGAAGCACATCGGACGTTCCGTCAGGTAAACACATCGACAATTGATCTGATTAATCAACCAAAAACGAAATCGTTTACGAAGAAACCCTAATTTTCCAGGCGAACATTCGTATTTAGAAGTATTGGAGAATTCGAGTTCAAGAAGAGGGGAAATTCGTGTGGTGATCGAACTCAATTTTAGGTCAGAGTTCGAGATGGCGAGAGCGAGCGAAGAATACAACAAATTAATCAGACGATTACCGGAAGTGTTTGTGGGGAAATCGGAGAGATTATGGTCTCTGATTAAGATCCTGTGCGCGGCGGCGAAGAGGTGCACAACAGAGAAGAAGATGCATTTGGCGCCATGGAGGAAGCAGAAATACGTGCAATTGAAGTGGCAGGGACGGGGGGAGAGGGCGGCAGTGGCGGTGGCTCCGCCTCTGCCGGTGAATTTATCCGACCGGCCGGTGAAATCGAAGGCGTCGATGTTAACATTTGATCTGCGGGAGAATTTGCCTGGCCTGCATTGTAAAGCAGTTGAAGTTGTTTGAAGCAATTTTGTTATTGGGTTTTGTTAAATGCTGTACATAAAAATATTTTATTTCTTTTAAATATTCATTTTCATCTTCATATTTTTTTAATCTAATTATTTAACTATTTCTTTTCTTCAACTTCATCTTACAAAAAATGAATTGAAAATCAAAATATACCAATTTTAATTATTTTTATTAAATATTAATGCTGTATAAATTTTGGTTTGATTGGGCTGGGCTTATATATTGTTTGGACTTGTTCTAAATACGCCCTCTCTCCCTCCACTCCGTTAGATCGTCACTAACGGACCTAACTCCTACCATTTCTAATAGTTATATACAGTAAGCTGCCCTCTCTCCCTCCACTCATCTCTAACGGAGTTTACTCCTACCATTTCTAATAGTTATATACAGTAAGCGTTGTTATTGTCTTTTGCTTACATTCTCATATAACACCGATTTCAATTTCTCAAATCTTGCTTTCAAAATTCTCTTTCGAAATCTCTTTGCTCCGTTAACTTGGGCTAGAGACTCGAGTATACGTTTCTTAGGGACATTAGAACGAATAGGCTTAACTCACTTGTTGCTGGAAAGTGTGCAGCATAATTACAAGTCCACTGCCATCAAAAGTGCAAGTCAAAATTAACGTTAGTTGTCATTTTTTCTTTTCATATTTAAAAATATATAATAACAAAATAAAAAAAATACAAATATATATATATATATATATATATATTCACCCTACATATTATATTAATAACTAAAAACCTTATAAAATTTAAATATTAATATTTACAATCACAACACGTTACTAACATAAGTTACCTTCGACTTTTGAGATATTTAACATAAGTTATCCTCGTTTTTTTAAATAGAGGATAGATTGGGTTGGAACCCGACAAAAGAAAAAAAAATCAACCACAAATCAAATAAATTTTTTGGTTTTTTTTTTATTTTTAAATTCAACCTAAATGGGTTAGATATTTTGAATTGATCGGGTTATTGGATCATATGAATATCCTTAACATTACTTAAGTCTAACGATCGGACTTCTTGACCTTCAATCATTAATGTAACATTGAAATCAACAATTATAGAACCCACAAAAATTATAGACATGTAAACACAAGACAATGTTTGCGGATATTAATTGTGTTCATACCAACCATTCTCAAACTTTGTTGTTTTCAAAAATGTCTCAATCTATTTTCATATTTAAATTTCAAATATAACATTTAATTTTTATTCTTTTAATCTCGAATTTTATAAAAAAAATTCATAAAGCGACTCTACATTTGATTCATCACGACCCCATCAAAGAGAATCTATGTTTACACAACAAACGAGAGAATAGTATGGAAAGTAATTGGCCGTTGATACGATGACCCGACAGGAATTATATGCCGTGCCATTCCTTTTTAGTATAGAAAGTAATTGGCCGTTGATACGATGACCCGACAGGAATTATATGCCGTGTCATTCCTTCTAAGTATGGAAAGTAATTGGCCATTAATATGATGACCAGACAGTAATTATATTCAGTGGCCATTCCTTCTTAGTATGGAAAGTAATTGGTCGTTGATACGATGATCCGCCAGGAATTATATTCAGTGGTCATTCCTTCTTAGTATGGAAAGCAATGGGCCGTTGATACCATTATCCGACAAGAATTATATTATGTGGCCATTCCTTCTAATGTTTTCTTTTACTATTATTATTATTATTTAAGTGGTTGATATTTTAAAATATTAAAATATGAACTCTTAAAAATTTATAAAATATTATTATTATTTTTGTAAATAGTTATATAAATAATTATCTCTTAAAAAAATTAAAAGAATTTTTATTATAGTTGAAAATAAAATTTAAAAAAATGAAAAGAGTTGAATAAAATATCTACCTAACTTTATATTTAATAATAAAAATAAATAAATAAATAAAACTTTTAAATCAATATATCTACCTAATATAATTTTCCTTTTTCAGAAAAGATGTTCTTTTCTATTTATGGGTCTTAAATTTTTCAAAAAGATGTTCGAAAAGATTGAACAAACTAAAAAATTAGGTCATTTTTTAACAATTTCATTTTCCAATTTTTTTTTTTAAATTTTAGAAAAATATTTATAATTTTTTTAAAATAAAAAAATCAAATATTTTGTTAAATATTATTTTTAAAATTTTCTCCGAACGCGAATTTCTTTTATAAATTCGTTTAAATCAAATAAACACGCCACACTCATTTTCAGTGCTTTTTTACGAGTGCTTTTAAATCAAATAAACACACAACACTCATTTTTTTTAGTCCAACACTTTCGCCCATTTTAAGAATATTACGAGTTTTCGTATCTTTTTCATTTTTTTTGGAGTATGGATTGAAATATGAATCAGATTTTCGAATTCCAATTTGTTAATCTATTAATATCAATAACGAAAAAAAAAAAAAGAATTACCGAGATTTGAATTCAAACCTCCCGAACCCACTAATAAATTTTTAAAAAATTGTATCGTAAATAATTCGAGTTAGAAAAGCAATTTTATTCTAAAAAAGAAGTCGAAACTCCATCTTTGAAAAATGTAAGGACTAGAAAAAAGGAAAAAGACAATTGATATTAGCCGCAATTGAAACAGTGAAAGAAGTAGGGTTTTGATTTGTCACTTTTTCTAAAGATTTTTTTTTCTCCGATGATATTCTTCAATATTGATCTTCTTAACGACCTTACGTAACTTAACGTTCATACCAATATTTTTGTACGATACTAAAATTTTAATGGCTAAAATAAGTCTTAAAAGTCAAGACGAAAACAACTTCTAAAAGTTTAAAAAGAAAAATGGTTGATTTTTAAAATTTTATAAACAAAAACCGACCTTTTCGAGGTTAAAAAGAACGAGGAAAATACGTATAAGAGACCGTTAAATAGTTAATAATAATGAAGATTAAGTTTATATTTTACAAATTAAAATTTATTAATTTATTAATTTATAATTTTCATGTTAACTTTTTTTATTTCTAATTTATTTAGGAAAATAATAACATAAAATTGGTATAAATTAAAATAAGTAGGGCCCATCAAGAATTACAACGTTCAATAGCCTTTACGTGGATTATCTTTTTGTTTTTCTTTCTTTTCAATGTTTACCTAGTGGACCATGGTCAAAAGTATAGTAAAATTACTGCGGGTTAAAATTACGAACCCACCGTAAAATTCCTTCTACGGCGGCGGTTAAAAATATTTCACCTTGTATTTCAGGTCTTGCCAATGCTGACGTAATATTGATGACGTCATCCAAAATTACGTCGTTTCACTACCTAACCAAATCTCTGTACCCACTTTGTATAATGGTATATAAATGCCACCTGAGTTCCAGCCATTTCTGTAACCTTCTTCATCTTCATCTTCTTCTTCATCGTTCTCTTTATCAAATGGATCGCCATTTCCAGTTCTCGACTTCGTCTTCGTCGGCTGCAAAGATCGAACGGCGAATCGTAGAGAAAAACAGAAGAAATCAGATGAAAACCCTCTGTTCTCAGCTCAATTCCCTTCTCCCAAATCAGGATTCCAAGGTCCTTTCTTATCTCCTTCACATAAAACAGAGCAAAACAGAGCAAAAACAGAGAAAAACAGAGCATCCTCTGTTCTTGAATGAATTTTACATGAAATTAACGAACACCCACGAGCCAAAATCTTGATTTGTTGTGTAATTTTATGCAGGAGATTTCATTAGCATTGCCGGATCAAATCGATGAAGCTGTTAAGTACATAAAAGAGCTGGAGAAGAAAGTGAATTTAGCTAAGGAGAAGAAGGAAAAGCTAGAGGGGAAGAACAAGAGCTCCATGAATATCGAGTCTTCGTCGTCGTCTTCGTCCTCATCGGCTTCACCTCAGCTCAAAATCCATCAATCTGGTCGAAGCTTGGAGATTATTTTAAGCAGTGGATTGGATAATCAGTATCTCTTCTCTGAAACCATTAGCATTCTTCAAGAGGAAGGCGTTGAAGTTGTGAATGCCAGCTTCTCTGTTTCTGGGAGCTCTGTTTTTCAAACATTCCATGCACAAGTATTACCAATTCTCAAGAACTGATATCATATTGATTATGGTTAGTTTGATCTTGTTGTTAATGGGTTTTTGTGGTTTGATCACACAGCTCGAGGGCTCGATGATCGAATTCGAGGCAGCGAAGGTGACGGAGAGATTGAAGCGATTGGTTTACGGATCGAACAGCGACATGGAATTGCAGAAGGAGAAGCAATGGTGGGATGAATTCCCTTCTGATGATTTGGATTATTAATTCCGACAAAAACAGCTCAAGTTCATAAGCATACATTTAAAGACAACAAACTGAAAAGAAAAAGGAGAATAAAGGAGTCTTCAGAGTGTGTTGGTTCCAAATGTGTTGGAGTAAGGAACTAAGTCAATAATACTCCTACTATTTAAACTTACTTTTATGCTTAATGTAAATAGAAAATAAATGAGACGTGAAGATTTGAAATTTCTGCTCTCAAGTTTAATATAGAATACAAGGGTCGATGTTTTTATATTCTTATCTATAAACATAGTACTTGTAAATTGTAGAAACATACTATATTATAAATGTTTAGGGACCTATTTCAAATGAGTATTGAGTTTAATTGGAACTAGAGAATGGAGTGGGAAGAGATTTCTCCCTTGTAGACACGTGAAAACTTCACCGTAGTAGACACGTTTTAACAAGGATATGAAAACGTCTCCGTAGTAGACACGTTCTACCATATAAGGGTGTGAAAGCCGCCTCCCGCAATAGTAGACACGTTCAACCATATAAGGGTGTGAAAGCCGCCTCCCGCAATAGTAGACACATTCTACCATATAAGGGTGTGAAAGCCGCCTCCCGCAATAGTAGACACATTCTACCAAATAAGGGTGTGAAAGCCGCCTTCCGCAATAGTAGACACATTCTACCAAATAAGGGTGTGAAAGCCGCCTTCCACAATAGTAGACACATTCTACCATATAAGAGTGTGAAAACCTCCCGCAATAGATATGTTCTACCATATAAGAGTGTGAAAGCCTCCCGTAGTAGACACGTTCTACCAAGGATGTGAAAGCCAAACCTCCTGCAAT